TGGTTAACATCTGACTCCTGATTTCGTCTCAGGTCATGATCTCATGGCTCGTGAGTTCGAGCCCTGTGCCGGCAGCGCAGGGCCTGCTTGGGATATTCTCTCTCTCTCTCTCTCTCTCTCTCTCTCTCTCTCCCCCTCCCTCCCTCCCTCCCCCTCTCCCTCTCCCTCTCTCCGTGTCCCCCTCTCTCCCTGCCTTCTTTCAAAATAAATAAACTTAAAAAAAAAAAAATGGTGGCAGTAGTAAAATCCTCAGGGTGCCCCCACCCTTGGCTTTAGTTATTCAGATGATCCAAAACACCTTCTTTTGGTGATGAGTTGATTAAACTATGATAGTTCTACCAATAGACCCTATTAATTGAAAATGCAAGTTAAAAATTTAATCTGTTGGGGCGCCTGGGTGGCGCAGTCGGTTGAGCGTCCGACTTCAGCCAGGTCACGATCTCGCGGTCCGGGAGTTCGAGCCCCGTGTCGGGCTCTGGGCTGATGGCTCAGGGCCTGGAGCTTGTTTCCGATTCTGTGTCTCCCTCTCTCTCTGCCCCTCCCCTGTTCATGCTGTGTCTCTCTCTGTCGCAAAAATAAGTAAACATTGAAAAAAAAAAATTTAATCTGTTAACCTGTCATCTAGCCTGAGAACTTCATGATCTAGATAAGAGCTGGCTATTTACAGAGTAAATAAAACAAACATTTGAGTTCAGCGCTGAAAAAAAAAAAGATTTTATTAGTACTTAAGACAGACTTCACAAAAATAGTTGAGCAGTTCCACCACCCTTTGTTTTCTACTGTTAAGCGTCCTTTGATAATGAAGACAAAAGGGAAGGAGAGTTAGAAAGTATTTTAAATCTTGGCCATAGCAATTGCAAAAATTTTGTTTTCTCCAACTCCTAAGCCATTTCTCTTGAAGTCATTATAAAGCACTTCTTTTAATCAAGATGAAATGAAATACTACTTACCAGCTGACATATTGGAAAGAGATGTTCTGATGAGAGTTTTTTTTTTTTTTTTTTAAAGAGTTTGTTCCATTGGGTGGTTGCCTAAGCAAGCAAAGGCTTGGGCCCCTGTCCCCTAGGGCTGACTACAAAAACCCTCCCTCCCCCCCCAAGTTTCGTCCCAAGTATTCTAGATCTCATTCTTTGGAGGCGAGACTTGATGTACCTCTTCCTGAGAGAGGGCACAACTGTTCTGACCTGGGGAAGACAAGAGTCAAGGTGTCTGCGTCCTTCCACCACCACTGGGCATCCAAGGCTCAGCAAAGCTTCGGTCCTAGAGGCCCCCCTCCCCCCGCCAACAACCCAGAAAAAGGAATTTCCTTTCCCATAGAGTCTGTTCCTTTCATTCCTTATAGGGTAATGTTGCTCCCTTTCCCAAGTCTTTTTACCCAGGATCTGATAGCTTAAGTTCCACAGCTTTTTATTTCCTGACTCCTTGCCAATCACAGCCCTCCCCGCCTTTTGCCTCCCCTCCCCCTTCAGGACTTTTAACCTCTTATCCTTCTTCTGACTAGCAGTCTTATTTTACCAAGGGTTGAACTGCCTCCCCACCCTCCAAACGCCTCCCGGCTTTTATTTTTTCCTGGGACACTTGTGCTCAAGGTAATGGTCTGTCCTTGGACAGTGTGCATCTTGCTTTCCCTAGGACAGCAGTCAGGACTACAGAAGCTATAGCTTTGAAGGGCAAGGTCAGGAATCCAGGTCATACACCAGAAAGATTGACAGCAGACCCTTGAAGACCACCTTATATAATGCTACAGAGCGCCATGGGAGATCCCCAAAATGCGTGCCTCCCTCTATTGGGATATATACACTGGCCACTTCCAGATTCAGCAGCTTGTTTCATCTAAAAATCTTTCGAAGGGCACCTCGGTGGCCAACCTCGGCTCAGGTCACGATCTCGCGGTTCACAAGTTTGAGCCCCACGTTGGGCTCTGTGCTGACAGCTCAGAGCCTGAAGCCTGCTTCGGATTCTGTGTCGCCCTCTCTCTCTGTCCTCCCCGCTCGTACTCCGTCTCTTCTCTCTCAAAAATAAACATTAAAAAAAAAAAAAAAAAACGTTAAAAGTCTTTCTAGGGCTAAGGGCAATCAGAAATTTCCCCAAGCATTTTAAAGACCCTCACAACGAAAAGGGTCCTTATGTCATTGGATAGTTTGGTGGGTGCTAATAACTTATGCAAACAAGGGGGATATATTCTCCTCTAGGTAGAGATACGTCATTAGGCATAGGACTCCAGATAACACGCTTACCACGTATAGTGGACTCTGAAGCTAACAATCCATGAAGCAGACAACAAACTCCAAAGTGGGCATTGACCTGTCAGTTTATGAGAAAAAACATAATTTGCCCTCCTTATACTTAAAATATATACTTGAGGGGCGCCTGAGTGGCTCAGGCAGTTAAGCGTCCAACTTTGGCTCAGGTCATGATCTCGTGGTTCATGAGTTCGAGCCCTTTATCAGGTGCTGTGCTGACAGCTCGGAGCCCGGAGCCTGCTCTGGATTCTGTGTCTCCTTCTGTCTGTCTCTCAAAAATAATAAACATTAAAAATAAAATATATATTTGAAATCTACTTAAAATTTACTTAAAATATCTCTCCCAAGATGCTTGAGCCTCGTCTGATCTCAGGCACAGGAGTGTGCCCCTTTTTGTCCTCCCCTAAATCACAGCATTCTAGAAAAATCCTAGATTTGGGAATCACTTAAAAGTCTCAGAGCAGACAGGCATTTTTTTCCTTAGTCGTGGACCGAGCTGCCAGAGGCCTTCAGGGATTGACAGTTTTCTTTGTTGAGGACCGTTGGGGGCCCCCTTCCCTACCACCTAGCTCTTGACTTCGCAGTGTTGATCAAGTGGGACATTGTCTCCTAAATTTCAGAAAGTTCTCCTAACACGCTATTCAAAGAGTGGCCGATCTGAGAACTTTGTTACTGGGTCACAACAAGCTAAAGAGTATTATCCTGAGTGGAAATCAGCTATGTCACTGAGTGTATTTAATTTAGCAGACTTTTTTTTTTTTTTTTTTTTTTTTTTGCCCCGTAGACTAGTTGAAGAAGGAAATGATGAATTGATTTACGTTCGGGTGCAAGTTCCTTGTCTTGTTGTGGTCCAGCACTTTGAACAGAACTTGCCTCGAAGTCTATAACAGACCATTTTAGGCATGCTTATCTTCAGAAATGAAACGTGTTCCGCTCTGTCTTCTGTGTCTTTTATTACCTGATTTCTTTCAACAAAAATGGCCCTGAAGGCCATTGGGTCAAAGTAAATCTGATTTTCTTTTTTTTTAATTTTTTAAGTGTATTTATTTATTTCGAGAGAGGGGGAGTGCAAGCCGGGTAGGGACAGAGAGAGAACAGGGAGAGAATCTGCCTAATGCAGGGCTTGAACTCAAAAACCGGGAGATCATGACCTGAGCCAAGATCAACGGTCAGACGCTTAACTGGCTGAGCCACCCAGGGGTCCCTTATTTTCATTTCTGCCTCGCCTTTCTTCACAGAAATCCACTGACTGCTCCCTCTGTGTCTCTCCATTCTTGAAAAAGCACTTCAGAATAACCCCCTCTTCCCTCTCCAGAAGTCTGTCTCTCTCTCATAGAAGCGTGGTGCTTATTTGATAACTCACGCTCTATCAAACATCTTACAAGACGATGTATGTGTGTAGCCTTCATTTAGACCAGGGGAGCTGGCAAAACCCCAGGCCTGATACCTGACCTTTCTTTCTGCCAGAATTCTGAGAAATCTCTTAGATACGGGGAAGCCTGACTCTCTTAAACCTTCCTTCTTCTTTTCCCAAGAGTGTTTGGACACATGCACAGAATGTGTAGGGCAACCACAAAGCCTGCCTTCTATACCTGAACTCTTGCTTGACGGCAAACATTTGGTCCACGATCCCACAGCAGCTGTTCCCAGCTTCAGCTCACTTGCTACTTCCCAGGGGTCCAGCTGTAGAGTCACTGTACCAGCTGGCCACAATTGGCCAACCTTGGAAAAGCTCATTTATTTATTGGTAACTTCGGTTGTTAAGAATTCATCCAACACTCCTTAGGTGCTGGGTTCCGTCCCACACACTTTGCACTTCCTTAAATTCTCACAAAGTAGATATTCTCTCCATCTTGTAGCCGATGAAGCTTTTTACAGTTCTAGAGAGAGAAGCCTGTCTAAAATCACGCCGTTAGTGATAGAACCGAGGCAATCTAACTCTGAAAGCGTGCTGATTCTCCCAGGGCCTGTCCCCTTTCTCCAAGGACGCTTCAGTCCTGCCACATGTTTTCTCTGCCTCTCTTACAAGTCCTAGGCTAGGCTTCCTCCAGCCACCCAACCCACTTCCTTTTTCCAATTCTTCAGGAAAATTAGAAACTAGAAACGGTTACCAAAGCACATTCCCTGGCTGCCTGAAAAGTACATGCCCTTTGTGGTTAGGTGACAGACCAGAAACACACAGGATCAAAGCGGTCAGTTACACTAGGAAACATTTACTATACTAGCCACTGAGGATGATGCATGGTCAGAGAATGAACCTGACTTGTTAGTAACTTGAGCTCGCTTTTCGGGAAAAGACTGGTAGAATGTGTCATAGATGGGAGTAATTTGCAAAATTCTTTACAAGCTGAAAATTGCCACTAATGGCTTTGACCGGCACAAAAATATCTGTGTTTGTTTTTCAGGGTGAGCAGTCCACGTAAGGCTGTTCTTCACAAAGCACTTTTTAAAAAATAAATTTACTGGGGCGCCTGGGTGGCTCAGTCGGTTGAGCATCTGACTTAGGCTCAGGTCATGATCTCTCACTGCTCGTGGGTTCCAGCCCCGCATTGGGCTCTTTGCTGACAGCACGGAGCCTGGAGCCTGCTTCAAATTGTGTCTCCCTCTCTCTCTGTCCCTCCCCCACTCATGCTCTGTCCCTCCCCCACTCATGCTCTGTCTCTCCCCCACTCATGCTCTGTCTCTCAAATAAATGAATGAATGAATGAATGAATGAATGAATGAATAAGTTTACTTCACTTCTTTCTATGCATACAGAATTATTCCCGAGTGGATGTTCAGCCTTCAAGAAAATAACTCCCAATATAGATGAAGAAGGAGCAATGAAAGAAGATGCTGGAATGATGGATGTCCATTACAGTGAGGTAAGATTCCGGGGCCTGCAATGCCAGTTATATAAATTTAACTTCTTAAAATTTATATTAAAAAATTATTACAGCTAACTTAATTTGGAAGGTAACCAAGGGCTGATGAACTGTAAGCATTAAAACTGCCCAGGGCAGAGAGGTCCCTATTTGGAATGTGGAGCCTGGCCTCTGGAGCGGTTCCTGTTGTCTGGTTTTAGAGAGGCAGTATTTATCATCTTCAAATTACCATCCCAGTAACCAGATCAGGGTCCACATACTTTGGAAAAATCTCCATAAAAAATAGAGTTAACGATGCAACAGCTGAGCAGTATCCGCAGAAAAGTATTTTCTAAACTGGAAAATTTCTGCCGTAAACTTCTTATGGGTAGCAAAACAGCTTTAGTTGTCAATCAGTGAATACGTATTGACTTAGGAACAAGGCTCTGGGCTTGGTGATATAGGAGCTGTAAAATAATTACATACGGCTAATCCCTGACCTCCAATATCAACCTGAACAGCTAATATACCTACATGGAAATGGGTAAAAAAAAAAAAAAAGACTATGCCATTTGAATAATGGCCTCAGTGTGCTCCATGTAAAGTCAAAGGTGAGAGAGATGCCTTTGAGCTAAAGTAAAACAGAGGAGGTATGATCAGAGAGGGGTGGAGAAAGAGGACGCTCTGGAGGCAGTCTAACAGAGGAGGATAGTAGCAGGGACCAAAGTTCAGAGGTGGGAGGGGCACCTGGGTGGCTCAGTCTGTTAAGTGTCTTGACTTCGGCCCAGGTCATGATCTCGCGGTCTGTGAGTTCGAGCGCGGTCTCCAGCTCTGTGTTGACAGTTCAGAGCCTGGAGCCTGCTTCAGATTCTGTGTCTCCTTCTCTCACTGCTCCTCCCCTACTCAGCCTCTCTCTCTCTCTCTCTCTGTCTCTCAAAAATAAATAAACATTAAAAAAAAAAGGAAAGAAAGAAATAGCCTTGATCCTGACTCTTTTTAATACTCTCAAGGAGACGGGTAACATTTCTTATCAGTCAAGAACTCCGATCTGTTTTGTATGTAAACCCATTTGTTGGAACTCTTTTGTGTTCTACAGTAAAAATTGATATATTTTATTTGATGTATACAGACAGAATCCTGTTCCAAAAGAGCCTTTGTACATTTCAGCTTAGGTAAGAGGGCTTCCTCCTCATGCCCTCACCAGTGGAAAAATAACCAACACTGATTTGTGAGTTTTATTGAAAAGTACAAACGTTTGTCTATTTAGTGCCTGTATTTAAATGCATGAATGAAACCAATAATAGTGAAACTTAATTTGTTTCTCAAATGACTTCTGACCTTTGATTTTCAATAGTTTGTAAAGATATAATTAGCATACAGTCAAATGCGCATTCCTAAATGAACAGTTTGATGAACTTTGATACTTGTATGCACCCATGTAACTTCCCATCAGAAACAAGAAAGAGAACACGTCCATTCTCCTGGAAAGTTCCCTTGTGCCCATTTCCAGTCAGTCCCTCCTCCCCCACCGTCTAATTTCTCACACCATAGATGAGTTTTGCCTGTATTTTGGTGGCATAAAAATGGACTCATTCATTCCATTCGATACATACCGTTTTGTATCTGGCTTCTTTTGCTTACCCTAATGTTTTTGAGATACATCCACGTTGTTGAATATATCAAAAGTTTGTTCTTTTTCATTACTAAATAATACTCCATTGTATTGATATCTGATTTGTTTTTGTAATCCATTGTCCTGTTGATGAACTTTGGATTGTTTCCAGTTCAGGGCTGTTAGGAATAAGGTTGCTTTAAACATCCTTATCTATGCCCTTTTGTGGACATATGCTTTCATTTTTTGTGGGTAAATACCTAGGAGTGAAATTGCTGGATCCCCGGGAAGTTGTATGTTTAATTTTCTACGAAATTGCCAAAGAGTTTTTCAAAGTGAATGGCCCGTTTTATACTCCCGCCAGTAACAGGTGAAAGTTTCAGTTGGTCGAGATCCTCCCCAACATCTGATATTGCTGATTTTTTTTTTAATTTTTATTTTTGCCATTCTGTTAGGCATGAATTGGTATCTCATTGTGTTTTTTTATTTATATTTTCCTGATAACTAATGATGTTGAGCACTCTTTCATGTGCTTCTTTGCCTTTCATATATCTTCGTTTGTGAAATGTGTGTTCAGGTCTTTTGCTCATTTTTAGAAATGGCATTGTTCGTTTCTTAATTGTTGACTTGTAGACATTTTTTGTATGTTCCGGATATAAGTTCTGTGTCAGATATATGTGCTGCAAATTTATCTTTGATTTGCTTATTCATTGCTTAATTGAGCCTTTTAATTTAATTGAGCCAAAAAGTTTGGTTTTGATGAAGTCCAGTTTCCCATTTTAATGGTTTGTTCTTTTTGTGTCTGGTCTGAGAATTTTTTGCTTACCTCCAGATTGTAAAGATATTGTCTTACACTTTCTTTTTTCTTTTTTTTTTTGAGATTTTGTTTTTAAGTAATCTCTACACCCAACATGGGGCTTGAACTCACAACCCCGAGAGCAAGAGTCGCACGCCCCTCTGACAGAGCCAGCCAGGCGCCCCTTACGTTTTCTTCTCTAAACCCTGGATATGAGTTTTATATTTAGGTCTGTAGGGGCACCTGGGTGGCTCAGTCGGTTGAGCATTCAACTTCGGCTCAGGTCATGACCTCAGGGTTTGTGAGTTCGAGCCCCGCGTCGGGCTCTGTGCTGACAGCTCGGAGCCTGGAGCCTGCTTCAGATTCTGTGTCTCCCTTTCTCTCTGGCCTTCCCCTGCTCATACTCTGTCTGTCTGTCTCTCATAAATAAACGTTAAAAAAAATTTTTTTTTAATTTATTTAAGTCTGTAATCTAAAATACATGTTTGAGCATGGAATTAGATAGAGGTCAAGGTTCAAGGTAGACATTTAGATGGTTCATACCCTATGGGGGAAAATAAAACTTTCCTTTTGCCTGATAGAATTCCTTTGGCACCTTGGTTAAATTTCAGTTCTGTGTATGTGTGCAGCCTATTTCTGCACTCTGTTCTATAGCACTGACCTATTGTCCATCTTGATATGAATATTACACCATCTCGATTGCTTTCACTTTATAAGTCTTGAAATCAGGTAATGTTAGCCCTCTAACTGTTTTTTTCAAACTCATCTTGGCTATTCTACACCCTTTGAATTTCCATGTAAATTTTAGACTCCTCTTTTCTACTTCCTCAAAAGAGCCTGCTGGAAGTTTTTGGGGGATTTTGTTAAATTTATATACGAGTACATGGAAAATGGCAAGCTTAGCAATATTGAGTCTTTCAATGAATATTTATTTAGGTTATCTTTAATTTCTCCCAACAGTATTTTGTGATTTTTTTTAGGGCAGAAGTCTTCTGCTGAATTTATTGTTAGATAATTGATGTTTTGTTGCCACTGTAAACAGTATTGCTTGATTTATTTTTCAATTTGTTGTTGCTAATATATACCACTACAGTTGATTTGTGTATGTTGATCTTGCAATCTGCAACCTTGCTAAGGATGCTTATTGGTTTTAGTAGCTTGTTTATTCCTTAGGCTTTTCTATATATACAATCATACCATTTGCACAGACAGTTTTATCTTTGCCAATCTGTAGGACTTTTCTCTCTTTTTCTTGCCTCGTGCTGTCTAGGACCTTCAGCATAATGCTGAATTCAAGCGGTGAGAGCAGGCTTTTTTTTTTTTTTTTTTAAGTTTATTTATTTATTTTGAGACAGAGAGAATGTGTGAGCAGGGGGAAGGGACAGAGAGAGAGGGAGACAGAGAATCCCAAGCAGGCTCCGTACTGTCAGCCCAGAGCCCAATGCGGGGCTTGAACTCCCAAACCGTGAGATCGTGACCTGAGCCGAAACCAAGAGTCAGACGCTTAACCGACTGAGCCCCCTGGGCGCCCCGAGAGAAGACATTCTTGACTCGTTCTCAAACTTATGAGAACAGCATTCAGCCTATAGATTTCTCATAGATGCCCTTTATCAGATTGAGGAAGGTCTTGTCTAGTCCTTGTTTCTGGAGAGTTCTTTCTTAATATCACGAAGGGATGTTGAGTTTTTTCAAATGCTTCCTCTGCATCTATTACTGGAGGTACCGTGTTTCTCTTTTATTCTGCTTTGTTCTGTATATTACACTGAATTTTTTTCCTAATTGTAAACCAGCTCTACATGCCTGGGACCCAGTAGTTTGTCACAGATTTTTAATTACCCCCAAAGTTCTTCCTTCCCACTGTTACTGGAAATTTTAATTTGGCTATTAAATGTTAATATACATTTATTGAAGCAGCAACAGTTAATGACCATCTGTGCACCGCCACTGTACTGGTGACTAAAGAAACCAATAAAAATAAGATCTCATCACTACCCTTGAAGAGACCCGGCCTATTTGGAAAGTCAGGTACATAGATGAGGGGCAAGTATGATGATAGATACCCACCCGATGAATGACCAGAGTAGGATAAAAGGCATCTAGTGTCTTGCTCCTCTGTATTCATGAGGAGAAGGATCCCAGAAGAGGTGATCTTAAAGAGCGGTCTTAAGGGAGTTAACCAAGTAAGGGGAGGAAAGGGCAGAGGGCACAACAGGAGCAAAGGCACAAAGTTAAGACAACACTGTGGTGCTTCAGGAGAACTACTAGGAGTTCATTGTTGTTGGAGCATAAAGTACAAGGCTGGGCCTGGTGAATGATAAGATTATAGAAATATCAGCCAGACTATTGCAAGCCTTGGGTGCCAAGTGAAAGAACTTGTCCTTTGCTCTTTGAAGGAAGGGATAACAGCCATCATGAGGTTCTAAGAAGGGGAGAGGGATGTGGTCTGGTATGCATTTTCACCAGAAGCCTGTGGCGCATACTGAAAAGTGCCAAGGCTGGAGGCAGGAAGATCGATTAGAAAAAAATAACAAGGTCTTAAGCTTTAGCCGGGAGGGTAGAAATAGAGAGGAAGGGTCAGATTTGAGAACTGTTGAGGAAGCAACACTGGCAGAAGTCAGCGGTGAGCTGATTGGAGGGTGAGTGAAGAGAGAGCGTGTCCGTTTTCCGGAACTGAGGTAACAAAGTATGCGCTCGTTCATTATCTCACAGTTCCAGCATCCAGAAGTCTGAAGTCAAGGTGTCAGCAGGACCATGTTCCCTCTGAGACTCTGGGTAGAATCTTTCCTCGCCTCTTCCTAACTTCGGTGGTAGCCGCTGGTCTCTAGGTCCCTTGACGTCATAGCTGCGGTACCCCAGCTCCGCCCCTGGAGTCAGGTGGCGTTCTCCCCGCGCGTCTCTGTCTGCTTGTGTGGACATCACTCCTATTGGGTTAAGGGCCCAGCCTCCTCCAGTCTGACCTCACCTGAACTAACTCTACCTTCAGGGGCCCTGTTTCCACAAATAAAGTCACATTCTGAGGTACTGGGGGTCAGGACTTCAACATCTCTTTTTGAGGGACACAAGTCACCCCATGACAGGGCCCAGGCCAAAGTACTCTTAGGTTTTCTAGCTAAGGGTTCGTAGGGTGTCGCCCCCGGCTAGATAGAAAGCACAAGCGAAAGAACTAGGTTAGGAAGAAGTTGAGTTCAGAATTGCCTAAAGGGCATACAGGAAAAACTGTTTTAGCATTCAGCGCTGTAAACGTCAAGAACATCTCTTTAAGATGTAAACAAGCTGGGGCGCCTGGGTGGCTCAGTCAGCTGAGCGACTGCCTTTGGCTCGGGTCACGATCTCAAGGTTCGTGAGTGCCAGCCCCACCTCAGGCTTTGCACTGACCACGCGAGCCTGCTTCGGATCCTCTGTCTCCCTCTCTCTCTGTCCCTCCCCCATTCACTCTCTGTCTCTCTCAAAAATAAATAAACATTAAAAAAATAGATAGAAAACAGGCTGTTGAGACTCACAGATAGTGTCAGCAATGGGCCTCATCTTTTTATTGTGGAGATGAGGGTTCATAAAGTAACTTATAGCAGCTGTTATCATTCTGGCAAGGTCAGAGATCTCTGTCTTGAGCTATTATCCTGTCCTTCTCGCAAACTTTAGGGCCAGCAGTCAGGAAGGAAGCATTGTTTACCAAGACTGCATCATTTTAGTAAACATGTATATCGCTAACACAGCAGCTTGAAAGTTGTCCAGTCTTCTGAACACTCTATTACATTATGTGTAAATATAACTTCAGTATAGAAAGGAAGCTGTGAACATTTATAGGCTTAGGGGAATTCACCTTATCAGACATACAGTTTGGAACAAATAATATATCCCCTTTTACAGATACTCCTTCTTGGGGGCGCCTGGGTAGCTCAGTCAGTTAAGCATCCAACTTCGGCTCAGGTCACGATCTTGCGGTTCGTGGGTTCGAGCCCCGAGTCAGACTCTGTGCTGACAGCTCAGAGCCTGGAGCCTGTTTCAGATTCTATGTGCCCCTTTCTCTCTGCCCCTCCCCTGTTGACGCTCTGTCTCTCTCTGTCTCAAAAATAAATAAAACATTTTTTAAAAATTAAAAAAAAAAAAAGAAAACAGATACTCCTTCCTAATGGGTTACGTTTCTAAGTACAGTTAACGTCCTTACTATGTGAGTAAACGATATCCATAGGTATGCTTCACTATTATCAATATTGATTTCATATTTTTAAGAGTGGTTTCAGTTTCAGATATTACAAGTGTTTGATTTAGAAAATAGAGTCACACGAGCATACTCCCTTCTGTACACGTTGTTTGTTCTCTACGAACTTGAAACGGTTCAAAATTTCTTTGCCAAAACTCTAAAACCACCTCTAATTCCTGATTGCATTTTGCCCTTAACGCAGGAAGTTTTGCTGGAGTTGCTAGAACAATGTGTGGATGGCTTATGGAAAGCAGAACGTTATGAAGTCATTTCTGAGATCTCCAAGTTGATCATTCCAATTTATGAGAAACGTCGTGAGTTTGAGGTAGGTAATTGAAACATTCGCATCATTGGGGGCGCCTGGGTGGCTTAGTCAGCTGAGCCTCTGACTTCGACTCAGGTCTTGATCTCGAGGTTTGTGAGTTCGAGCCCCACATTAGGCTTTGTGCTGACAGCTTGGAGACCGCTTTGGATCCTGTCTCCCTCCCTCCCAATCTCTCTCTCTCTCTCTCTCTCTCTCTCTCTCAGAAGTAAATAAACATTAAAAAAAAAGTCTAAACATTTGCATCATTGGCCTAAACTATATTTTATTTTGGTCTCGGAAAACACGGTAACATCGTTATGTTCCTATCCCTCTACTATGTGTCCTCTGAGGAATAAAAGGTTAATTATATCATGGCATTTGTATTTTATTGTAGAACATAGATACTTAACTATGTTGTGTTGACACATTTGTCCAGTCTGAAAGTTCCTATCCTTAAAAGTCCTGTGACATCCTAAAATCGGAATCCTACCTTATATTCCTATAAATTTTCCAGGGGCGCCTGGGTGGCTCAGTCGGTTAAGCATCCAACTTCGGCTCAGGTCACGATCTCGCGGTCCGTGAGTTCGAGCCCCGCGTTGGGCTCTGGGCTGATGGCTCGGAGCCTGGAGCCTGCTTCGGATTCTGTCTCCCTCTCTCTCTGCCCTTCCCCCGTTCATGCTCTGTCTCTCTCTGTCTCAAAAATAAATAAACGTTAGGGGCGCCTGGGTGGCACAGTCGGTTAAGCATCCGACTCTCGATTTCAGCTTAGGTCATGATCTCATAAGTTTGAGCCCCACGTCGGAGCCTGATTGGGATTCTCTGGCCCTCTCTCTGTGCCCCTGCCCCTGCTCTCTCTCTCTCTCTCTCTGAAAATAAACTTAAAAAGAAAAAAAAAAAAGCTATCGAATTTCCATGTTGTCCCGGGAAGAGTCATAGGCTTTTACGATTCTTTGCAGTTCGATGGGGAGACCAAAGGGGCTGGTAGCCCTACTGTGACGAGTTTTTTTCCAATTTAGTCTGTCAGATAAAGCTGTTGGTAAAGGATAATTAATAAAGAATGTAGTATAAGGAATACCTGTTGCCACCGGCCCAGGTTTTATATTCAAGTCTTGGAGTCCGAATCGTAATTTCTACGCCTATCGTATTAGGAAGGGGTGGTTTAGGATCCAAGCCTTCTTTTTTTTTTTTTTTTTTCAACGTTTATTTATTTTTGGGACAGAGAGAGACAGAGCATGAACGGGGGAGGGGCAGAGAGAGGGGGACACACAGAATCAGAAACAGGCTCCAGGCTCTGAGCCATCAGCCCAGAGCCCGACGCGGGGCTCGAACTCACGGACCGTGAGATCGTGACCTGGCTGAAGTCGGACGCTTAACCGACTGCGCCACCCAGGCGCCCCAGGATCCAAGCCTTCTTTAAAAAATGTTTATTTATTTTGAGAGAGAGAGAGAGAGAGAGCACGTGAGCAGGGGAGGAGCAGAGTGACATAGCACGAGAGAGAGTCCCAAGCAGGCTCCACGCCCGGCCCAGAATCCATCACAGGGCCCAGTACCATGAACCGTGAGATCGTGACCTGGACTGAAATCAAGAGTCTGACGCTCAACCAACTAAGCCACCCAGGCGCCCCTCAACCCCTTTTTTTAAAAAGCAAAGCAATTTGGGGGCGCCCGGGTGGCTCAGTCGGTTAAGCGTCCGACTTCGGCTCAGGTCATGATCTCACTGCCCGTGAGTTCGAGCCCCACGTCGGGCTTTGTGCTGACCGCTCAGAGCCTGGAGCCTGTTTCCGATTCTGTGTCTCCCTCTCTCTCTGCTCCTCCCCTGTTCATGCTCTGTCTCTCTCTGTCTCAAAAATAAATAAACGTTAAAACAAAAAAAATTAAAAAAAGAAAAAAAGCAAAGCAATTTATCCGTAAGTATAGCAAGTACGCTTTCATCGTTTTCCCAGAAGGAAAACACATACATTTAATATCATCTGCACTGTTCTAATCTCTCTTCAGACTGGCCCTGATCAAACTCACTTTTTCTTCCCAGGTTCTAGGCCTTTTCTCTCTCTGCCGTAGTTTTGGGGTATGTGAGGCATGCCTGAAAACTCATAGTGGAGTTCAAGTGATTCTATTAATAACTAAACCTAGGTCATAGAGGTGGCAAAGGATAGCCCACAAGATGATTGCCCCTTTTAGCAAAACATGACATCCTAAGAACCTTTGTAAAATTTCCAGAATACTCGCTTTCTTACCAGCTTGAAGATAAGGCTATTACAACCCCAGGGAGGGGGCGCCTGAGTGGCTCAGTCGGTTAAGCGTCTGACTTCAGCTCCGGTCATGATCTCACAGTTTGTGGGTTCGAGCCCTGTGTCAGGCTCCGACAGCTCAGGCTCAGAGCCTGGGACCTGCTTCAGATTCTGTGTCTTATTCTCTCTCTGTCCATCCCCAACTTGTGCTCTTTCTCTGTCTCTCAAAAATAAATAAATGTAAAAAAAAAAATCTTAAAAAGAAAAAGAACCTCAGGGAGTATTTTGCTACTCAATCAACTAATAGGGAAGAAAGAAAAATATATCTTTACACATGAAAGGAAACGCTGTTTTCTATAGGGATACTCCTCCTATTCCCTTGTCGGCTTGTGAAGGTCTGTGCAGATCCCCTAGCGTTCCACATGAGATGTAGTCCTTGTTTCTCGGACACTGATATATCATTTTTCACTGCATCTTTATGGGACGGGCTGAAAAAGTGTCAGAGACAGCAGCCATAAAGATAAGGAAGATTTCCCTCAAATTGAGCACAGCCTCTCTGTGCTCCCCGTTTTTATCAAGGTGAAATTCACGTAATACACAATTAACCATTTTTAAAGTGTACGATTCAGTATCATTCAGTGCATTCGTGATATTCTGAACCCGCCACCTCTCTCTACTTTCAAAACATTTTCATCACCCCAGAAAAACACGTCCTACCCACAAAGTGGTTCCTCTCCCTCCCACCCGCCCTCCTCTGGCAACCACTAATCTGCTTTCCATCCCTATGGGTTTCCCTATTCTGGATGTGTCATTAAAAAAGGATTCATAGAGGGGCGCCTGGGTGGCGCAGTCGGTTAAGCATCCGACTTCAGCCCCGTCACGATCTCGCGGTCCGTGAGTTCGAGCCCCGCGTCGGGCTCTGGGCTGATGGCTCAGAGCCTGGAGCCTGTTTCCGATTCTGTGTCTCCCTCTCTCTCTGCCCCTCCCCCGTTCATGCTCTGTCTCTCTCTGTCCCAAAAATAAATAAACGTTGAAAAAAAAATTAAAAAAAAAAAGGATTCATAGAGATGTGACCTTTTGTGTCTGGTTTCTTTCACTTAGCATAATATTTAGAGGTTCGTCCACATTGTAGTGTCTGTCACAACTTCATTCCTTTTTATGGCTGAATGATTTTCCATTGCGTGGCTACGCCACGATTTGTTTATCCACGTATCCATTGACAGACAGTTGGGTGGTTTTCACCTTTTGGCTATTATGGAGAGTTGCTGCTGTTGTGAACATTCGTGTCGACGTTTCTGCACGGCAACTGTGTTCATTTATCTTGGGTATATACCTAGGAGTAGAATTGCTGGGTCATGGGATGATTCTATGTTTAACGTTTTTTGTTTTTTTTTTTTTAATTTTTTTTTTTCAACGTTTATTTATTTTTGGGACAGAGAGAGACAGAGCATGAACGGGGGAGGGGCAGAGAGAGAGGGAGACACAGAATCAGAAACAGGCTCCAGGCTCTGAGCCATCAGCCCAGAGCCTGACGCGGGGCTCGAACCCACGGACCGCGAGATCGTGACCTGGCTGAAGTCGGACGCTTAACCGACTGCGCCACCCAGGCGCCCCTATGTTTAACGTTTTAAGAAACCACTGAACCGTTTTCCCTTTTCCCTTCCCATCAACAATGTATACGTTCCACAGTCCGACCAACACCTGTTGTTTTGGGTTTTTCATGAAAGCCATCTTAGTGGATGTGAAGTGTGTTCACATTATGGTATTTGATTTGTATTTCCTTATGACCGAGGATCTTGAACATCTTTTTATGTGCTTCTTAGCCATTTGTGTATCTTCTTTGGAGACATGCTTGTTCAAAAGCTTTGCCCCTTTTTAAATTGGGTTGTCTTTTTGTTGTTGAACTGTGAGAGCTCTTTATTATTTTCTGATACTAAACCTTTATCAGATCTGTGATTGGCAAATATTTTCTCCCATCCTGTAGGTTGGCTTTTCACATTCTTAATAATGTTCTTGGCACAATGTGCTCCCTTTTTCTGGGTACAGATGAGGTGGCTCAGTCGGTTGAGTGTCCAACTTCGGCTCAGGTCATGATCTCACACTCCATGAGTTCGAGCCCCGCGTCGGGCTCTGTGCTGACAGCTCATTGCCTGGAGCCTGTTTTGGATTCTGTGTCTCCCTCTCTCTCTGCCCCTCCCCCACTCATGCTCTGTCTCAGAAATAAATAAACATAAAAAAAATTTTTTTTAAATAAAAATAAAAGTAATCCAAATTAGGGACGCCTGGGTGGCTCAGTCGGTTAAGCATCCGACTTCAGCTCAGGTCGTGATCTCACACTCCGTGAGAGTTCGAGCCCCATGTCAGGCTCTGTGCTGACAGCTCAGAGCCTGGAGCCCGCTTCGGATTCTATGTCTCCCCCTCTCTCTGCCCCTCCCCTGCCCATGCTCTGTCTCTCTGTGTCTCAAAAATAAAAACATTTTTAAAAAATTAAAAAAAAAAAAAAAGAAAACTTCTGTAAACTTGTATAAAAGCAGTCCTCACTGAGGCATATACTGTTATTTTTGTATCTGTATATTTTGTTTTTTTCTCTTGGTGGTCTGCTGTATTTCTGGGGCTACTATCTATGCCTCAGAATGGAAGGATCCAGATCTCTCTAGCATCCTAAATCAAGCCTTTCCTCATCACTCCACCCTATTTCTTCATCCAACAATGGGAGAGGGAAATTACCCCCAGCGTCTGCTGTTTCTCTGAGCTTGACTGCATCTGCATTTATTTTTATCTCCAGAAGTTTTTGCACGAATTTTTAATTCTCGCCTTTGCCTTAAAGGCTCAAGCAAAAAAGCATCTGGCTTCTCTTTCAGTTAAACTAATTCAGATATAACGCAAATAGTAGTCAATAATACAGTGGGTTTAAAGTATGCCTTCCCATTGAGGTATGAATGAAATAAACCCACAGATCCGCATCTAGTAGCAATGGTTATTGACCATTTTAATTTCTACCCTTAGCCTTGACATTGTTGAGGAATTTCGTCTAATTGTGACAGAGGGGCAGGGGAGTGTGGCTGACCCCAAAACACATTTTGAAAAGGAAATAGCGTTGCTTCTCCCCCAACCCCCCCAACCCCCCGCCGCTGTGTATTTATCTTAGCCATTTAGTAATTAACCAAAAGATAAAGCTGGTTTGTATATTCTCCTTTTTCAGAAACTTACTCAAGTTTATAGAACTCTTCATGGAGCTTACACAAAAATTCTAGAGGTCATGCACACAAAAAAAAGACTTTTAGGGACTTTCTTCAGAGTTGCCTTTTATGGCCAAGTAAGTATACTTTCGTTCATAAAGTTGTTTTTCTTTTTAAACATTCACCTTTGAATTATTAGATTACTATAGCAGCAGGCATTGGTTCTTGCCTTCTGTCCAGATAGAGCGGCTAACACAACAGCCGGAGTCCAACGTAGAAGATTTGAATTTCTCCCTCAGTTTCATTTTCTGTTAAACCTCTTAAGGTATATATTTCATACCCGGTACTGAGAGCTTTGAAACGAAAAATAGGTAAGTATGACAGGGAATGAGAAAACACTAGCGTGGAAATCTTCAGGCCAAGTACATGGCCATATGACTGTGAATTGGAAAATTCATATTTATTTGACGTTAAAAGGGTCAGTACGTGCCATGTGGCTTTTGGTACCGCTTAAAATGTATTTCAAGCGTATTATTGCTAGTTACCTCGTACGTTTTCTGTAAATGCCGTGCCGGCTCGTGCTGTTTGTAAGTGATTGTGTGTTTCACTTTGCCATAGTCTTTTTTTGAAGAAGAGGATGGGAAGGAGTACATCTATAAAGAACCCAAGCTCACCGGCCTCTCGGAGATTTCCCTGAGACTCGTTAAACTTTATGGTGAAAAATTTGGTACAGAGAATGTTAAAATAATTCAGGATTCAGACAAGGTAACATAGACCCTGCATTTTGAAATCGTTGTTTGTTAGTTCCAAGCATGCTACACTGCTCCTGACTCTTTCCTTTTCTGGCTGGTGGGGGAGAAGTTTGGAAATAGAGCCTGTCCAGATATTGAAAGAAAGGACAGGAGGGGCGCCTGGGTGGCCCAGTAGGTTAAGCGTCCGACTGCAGCTCAGGTCATGATCTCACGGTTCGTGAGTTCGAGCCCCGCGTCGGGCTCTGGGCTGACAGCTCAGAGCCTGGAGCCGGCTTCGGATTCTCTCTCTCCTTCTCTCTCTGCCCCTCCCCTGCTCACATTCTCCCTCTCTCTCTCTCTCTCAAAAATAAATAAACATTTTTTTAATTAAAAAAAAAGAGAGGGAAAGGACAGGGGCTTTGGAGTCTGAGAGAAAAGGATTCAAATCTCCATTCTCTTGCAATTTGCCCGCTGGTTGACCGTAGGGAAGGCACTTAATTTCTCTGTGCCTCATTTTTTCTCTTTAATAAAATGGAGATGATACTAGTGCTTTTAGTGCATTTTATTATAAAATATCCTTAGTTTGGTAGTTACATTTGCAATGAAGTAAATTTAGGAGAGATCCCTTGGGACTTGCTCTAAAGGGTATCCGTCCCAGCAGGCCTTGCCAGGCCAGGATGAGAAAGATTCTAGCAAGAAAGGCTCCCTGCTAGAGACGCGTAGTTTCCTCGAGGCAGACTTCTGGAAAAGCACAGTGGGACTGCCTGACCGTTCTTAGTCGCCACTGGCGTGCCCAGAACGAGAGCTGGTTTCTAAGGTAGGAAGGGGCCTACACGGTTCAGCATCTGCAGACCACGGCAGTATTTACCGAGCGACTCTGATGCAAGTGGCTTAGCAGCTAGTAGGTAGCATTGCCAGAGTGGAAAGCTCACGGCCACGGTAAAGACACGTCCTGGCCTACCCCGAAAATGACGTCGGGCACCTGGGTGGCTCAGTCAGTGAAGCATCTGACTTTGATTCAGGTCACGATCTCACGGTTCGTGAGTTTGAGTCCCACTTCGGGTGAGGCCCGTTTCTCTCTCTCTCTCTCTCTCTCTCTCTCTCTCTGCCCCTTGTGGGATTCTCTCTCTCTCTTTCTCTCTCTCTCTCTCTCTCTCTCTCAAAGGAAAAAAAGAAAAGAAAACGATGTCTTCCCTTTGTAGACTCACCTGTCTCTCTTGCTTTTATCTTGACCGTATGCCTTAGACATGTCATTCATTAATATTTGGCAAAACCTCTCTACCTCTTATCAGCTTCGCTATTTTTGTGGGGTTTATTAAGTTAAGACAACGGAAGATCTTAGCTCCTTGCAGCCAGATAGTCTTAGGCTCGCTGCCACGTAACTGATACTATAAATGGAAAGTTAATGGAAAGCCAGGCTTGCTGAACAGCGTGTGCAGTCTTCTACTCTAAGCTGCTCATGAAAACCTGGCTCGTGAGGGCTAGCGGAAAAGCACCATCGGGCAGCTGGGCCCCTGACGTTATTTGTAGGCACAATATTTTAGTCCTTCTCCGTAGACAACAGACATAATAAGCAGCTGCTTACAAGTTCCTTGTTTCTTTCTTCATGTGCGAAAGTGAAAATTAAAAACACTCTTTTACCTTGCCAAAGAACAAACTCCGCTGGAGGGCACAGACCATTTGAAGAACCGTTTGGCGAGGTTTTCTAATATTTCAAAACCTGCGTTTCCTTGGACCCAATGATGTCACCTTTAAGATTTTATCTTGTGGGTGTTCGCTACCATAAAGATGTGTGATTAAAGGTGGTCATTGCTGCAGGGTTTCTGTAGCAAAAACCGGGAAGCCATCTAAACGTCCATATGGCTAAAGAAATTGTATTATCCATATAATGGATGTGGCAACCTATGCATTAAAAAATTGAGATAGGGGCGCCTGGGTGGCTCAGTCAGTTAAGCGTCCGACTGCGGCTCAGGTCATGATCTCACGGTTCGTGAGTTCGAGCCCCGCGTCGGGCTCTGTGCTGACCGCTCGGAGCCTGGAGCCTGCTTCGGATTCTGTTGTCTCTGTCTCTCTCTGCCCCTCCCCTACTCACGCTCGCGCGCTCTCTCAAAATTAAACATTAAAAAAATTTTTTTAATTGAGATAGATTTCTAAGTGTTGGTTTGAACCTGTCAAGATACTTTATTGAGGGGGGGAAAGGTGAGGTGCAGGATGTCATGGATAGGATGATCACATTTGTGCAAACATTGATATTCACAATAACTTGTATATACTTAGGAAATTTCTGGAACGATACATACAAAATTGTTAACCATGCTTACCCCTGAGGAGAGGGACCAGAATCTTACATAGAAAGAAATTTTCTACTTTTTCTCTATACCCTTGTGTACTGTTTGAATGTGGTTGTTTTTTTTTTTTTTTAATTTTTTTAACATTTATTCATTTTTGAGAGAGAAAGAGACAGAGTGTGAGCTGTGGAGGAGCAGAAAGAGAGGAAGACACAGAACCCGAAGCAGGCTCTCGGCTCCAAGCTGTCAGCACAGAGCCCGACGCGGGGCTCGGACCCGCGAACCGTGAGATCACGACCTGAGCCGAAGTCGGACGCTTAACCGACTGAGCCACCCAGGCCCCCCTGAATGTTTTACCATGTACATATTTTACTTTTATAAGGTTAAAATCAGGCTTGACCTCTTTTTTGTGTATTTCCCTTCTGTGTTTTGTCTTAGCCCAGATAATTACCTCACCTATCTCCTGAGGTGCCTCTTAGGAGAAATCTAGCTTACTTTTTCTGAGTGTGGTTGACACACGATGGTACATTAGTTTCAAGTGTGCAGCATAGTGACTCAACTTCTCGGTATGTTACGCTGTGCTCACCACCAGGGGAGCTACCGTCGGTCACCGTACAAGCTACTGCAATGCCATCGACTGTACTCCCTGTGCTGTGCCTTTTATTCCCCTGATTATTCACTCCATAGCTGGAAGCCTGTATCTCCCACTCCCCTTACCCATTTTGCCCATTCGCCCCCCCACCCTTCTCCCCTCTGGCAACCACCAGTGTGTTCTCTGTCGAGAAATCTAGCTATGTACTGGGAGAAAAAAGATTTAAGATTTCCAGATACAGGCTTTTAGATATTTACGTAAGAACAGGTAGAATGGATTTGGAGAAGCTAAAAGAAGCTAAGGAACTTTGTATCTCCTGGCCGTCTCCCATATATGTGGGGGAAAAAAAAAAGGATACAGAGACTGTTTCCAGAGAGGATTTTGTTGTCTCTTTTGTTTGTTTCAATGTTTGCTTTCTACACTAAACACAGAACCAGGCCTATCGTAAATTGCAACGACACTGACAGTCCTCAACACTCAAGTCACAAGCCAGTTGAGTTGAGAGAACACTGAGAGAGGGGCTTGGGCATAGTGTCAGGTTCATGGGGAGACTGATAGAGGGGAGGGTATCTAGAGCCCACAGGTGGAAAGTCCAGCACGGACAGTTCTGAGTTTTGCCTCCAGCAGAATATAAACATGGAATATAGACTCTTCATGAAAGGGCCCATAACTACCATAATTTTTATGTCTCTGGAAGAGAACCGTTCTTTCCTGCGGTCCCCTTCGAAGGACGGGAGGACCTAAGGTAGGATTAATGTAGTCAAGGGTACCCCCTCTTCCAACATCAGTCACTTCTTGTGGATGTACCAACCGGTAGGTTTTTCTGTAGGGTAATTGTGTGATATATATGAAAATCCTTAAAACCAGGTAAATCTTTTAACTGAGCAACTTCTAGGAATTGACCCTGAGGACTAAGTCAGAAAAAAAAAATGCACATAGTTTTAAAAACAGGGATGTTCATCAGAGCATTCTTTGCAATAGCAAAACATTGGGAAACAACCAAAGACTCTCTTGATGAGGGACCGATCCAGTAAATCATGTTCATTCATATATCCGTTAAAAGTCATGTTGATGGCCATATAGAACTGTAATCAGTATAATACGCTTTTTTGCTGCATGTACACGTAGCGTAGAATTAATTTACTGCTCTCACCATCCTTACGTGTGCAGTTCACCGGAGCTTCCGGCACCGTGTTGGATAGAAGTGGCAAAAGCAGGCCTCCTTGCTTTATTCCTGATCTTAGAGGAAAAGCTTTCAGCCTCTCAGCATGGAGTATAACATACGCTCTGGGTTTTTCATAGTGGCCCTTGATCAGACTGTGGAAAATTCCTTCTATTCCTGGCTTGTTGAGTATTTTTATTATGAGAGGATGCTGAATTTTGTCAAATGCATGTGCTGCATCAGTTAAGGTGATCGTGTAGTTTTTTTCCCCCCTTTATTCTGTTTATGTGGTTCTATTTACATTGATTGACTTTCATATGTTGAACCATCCTTGCATTCCAGGAGTAGATCCTACTTGGTCATGGCATATAATCCTTTTTAATATGCCGTGGAATTCTGTTTGCCAATATTCTGTCGAGGATTTTTGCAGCAGCGTTCGTAAGGGATGCTAGTCTGTAGATTTTCTTTGTACCAACTTTGTCTGGCTTTGGTTTCAGAGTAATGCTGACATCACAGAATGAGTCAGGGCGTGTTCCCTCCTCTTCAGTTTCTTAGAAGAGTCTGAGAATTGGTAGTAGTTCTTTAAGTGTTTGGTAGACTTCATCAGTGAAGACATCAGGTCAGAGCTTTTTTTCCATCAGACAATGTTTGATTATGGATTCAATCTCCTCACTAGTTATAGCGCTATCCAGAGTTTTCTATTTTGTTTGCATGGTTTAGTCTTGGTAGGCTGTGTGTTTCTAGGAATTTGTTCATTTCATCTAGGTTATTTCATTTGATGGCATACAGTTGTGCATAGTACTCTTACACTCTTTTTTAGTTCTGTAGATTTGGTAGTGATGTCCTTATTTTCAGTTCCTATTTTAGCAATTTTGAGTGTCCTTTTTTTTTTCTTAGTCCATCTAGTTAAAGATTTGTCAACTTCATTGATCTTTTCAAAGAACTGACCTTTGGTTTCATTGCTTTTCTCTATTTTCCTATTTTCTATTTCATTGATCTCTGCTTAACCTTTATTTCCATCCTTCTGCTAGCTTTGGGTTTAGTTCCTCTCTTTCTAGTTCCTTAAGTTGTAAAGTCGTGTTGTTGATTTAAGACCTTTCCTGTTTTGTAATGTTGTGTTTATAAGTCTCCTCCTTAGCGCTGCTTTTTCTGTGTCCTGTAAGCTTTGGTATGTTGTGATTTCATTTTCATTACTCTCTAAGTATGTCCCAACTTCCCTTGTGATTGTTTTTCTTTGAACCATTGATTTTTAAGTGTTTAACTCCCACAAAATTATGAACTTTCCTATTTTACTTCTGTTATTGACTTCTAACTTCATCCCTTCATGGTCAGAGAAGATACTTTCTATGGTATCTGTCTTTTTGAATCTATTGAGACTCATTTGTGGCCTAACATTCAACCTATCTTGGAAAATGTCCCATGTACACTTGAGAAGAATGCATATTATCGCTGAGTAGAGTGTTCTGTATACGTCTGTGAGTTGTACTTGGTTAAGTGTGTTGTTCAGGTCCCCTACTTCCTTACTTACCTTCTGTCTGCTTGCTGTATCTGGTATTGAGAGTGGGGTGCTACAGCCTCCAAGTATTACTGTAAAACTGTTTCTCCTTTGCACTCTGTCAATTTTTGCTTTACATGTTTTGATGGTCTGTTATTAGATGTGTAGATGTTTATGATTGTTTTATCTTCTTGCTGCATTGAACCTATTATCACTGTACAATGTCCTTTTTTTTTTTTTGTCTCTTGTGACCTTTAAAAATTTAAAGTCTACTTTGTTCAATATGAGTATATTCACTCCTGCTCTCTTTTGGTTACTGTATGCATGGAATATCTTTTTCTGTTTTTCACTTTCAGCCCATGTGTGTCTTTGGACCTAAAATAAATCTCTTGTAGAGCACACATAGTTGGATCATAATTTCTTATCCATTCTGCAAACCTCCCTTTTGATTACATTTTAATCCATTCACATTTCAAGTAATTACTGATAAGGAGAGGGTTCTTTCCTTCTGCTATTTGTTTTCTTATGTGCCTTATAGCTTTTTTGTCTCTCATTTTTTTGCATTACTGTCTTTTGGTTTAATTGATTTTTTTTTTACAGTGGAATGGTTACATTTGTCTCCCATTTCCTTTTGACTATATCCTTTAAGTATATTTTTATGGTTTTCATGGGGATGATATTTAACATCCTAAAGTCATACCACTCTAATTCAAATTTATACCAGTTTAATTTCCATAGCATACCAAGAAATCTGCTTCTTTAACAGCTCCTTCCCTACCCCTTTCTGTTGGTGATGTTGTAGAATTACATGTTTTGTGTGTCCCAAAACCATAAGCTAATGATTTAATACGTTAGTCTCTTAAAGTCTGTAGAAAACGAAATTTTTAAGTTACAAGCCAAACTTGCAACAATACTAGCTTTTAGACCAATAATTTTTTAATGTATTTGTCTCTTAAATTATGTAGAAAGCAAAAAATGGAGTTACATACCATTGTCACAATAACATGAGCTATTATAATTGCCCACGGATTTACCTTTACTGAGGTCTTTATTTCTTCACGCCGCTTCAGGTTACCGTCTGGTGTCCTTTCGTCTCAAGCTGCAAGACTTCCTGTGGCATCTTACGTAGGACGGTTCTAGTGTCAACAAACTCCCTCAGCTTTTCTTTGCTGAGGACTATCTTCATTTCTTTCCCACTTTCAAGGGCAGTTTTGTCAAATACAGAATTCTGGGGCGCCTGGGTGGCTCAGTCGGTTGAGCGTCCGACTTCGGCCCAGGTCACGATCTCATGGATCATGGGTTCGAGCCCCGCGTCGGGCTCCGTGCCGACAGCTCGGAGCCTGGAGCCTGCTTCGGATTCTGTGTCTCCCTCTCTCTCTCTGCCCCTCCCCAGCTCATGCTCGCACTCTGTCTCTGTCAAAAATAAACAAACTTAAATTTTTTTTTTTTTTAAATGCAGAATTCTTGGTTGACAGATTTTTTTTTCTTTAGCACTTTGACTACACTCACCCACTGCCTTCTGGCCTCCAAAGTTTCTGATAAGAAATCTGATCATCGTATTGAGACTTCCTTATTATGTGTGATGAGTCGCTTCTCTCTTGATTCTTCCAAAACTCTTTGACAGTTTGGTTTTGTTTTTTTTTCAACGTTTTTTATTAATTTTTGGGACAGAGAGAGACAGAGCATGAACGGGGGAGGGGCGGAGAGAGAGGGAGACCCAGCATCGGAAACAGGCTCCAGGCTCCGAGCCATTAGCCCAGAGCCTGACGCGGGGCTCGAACTCACGGACCGCGAGATCGTGACCTGGCCGAAGTCGGACGCCTAACCGACTGCGCCACCCAGGCGCCCCGACAGTTTGGTTTTAACGTGGCTCAGTGTGGGTCTCTTTGACTTACCCTACTCAGAATCTTCTTGGATGTTTATAGTCCTGCCTTTTATCAAATTTGGGAAGTTTTCACCCATTATTTCTTCAACTATTACCTCTGCCTCTTTCCATCTCTTTTCCTTTCCAGGACTCCTACAGTGTGTGTGTTGGTCCACGGGGTGATGTTCCTCATGATTGTCATATCTTCAGGTTCTGTGACTATTACTCCTGTCCGCTCAAGTCTGCCTTTGCATCCCCCTAGTGAATTTTCATTTTATTTATCGTGCTTTCCAGCTCCAAAAATTGGTTTGGTTTCTTGTTAGGTTTCCTACCTCTTTATTGATGTTGACATTTGTTCATACATTGTCTTCTTGACTTTCTCCACAGCTCCCTTTAGTTCTTTGATCAAGACAGTTATTTTAAAGTCTTTTTCTAGTAGGTCTGCTATCGGGTCTTTTTGGGGAGACAAGTGTCCGTTGGTTTATTTTTCCCCTCCGAATGTGCCATACTTTCCTGTTTCTTTAGATGCCTGGTGATTTTTTTTCTTGTTGAAAACTGTACATTTGGATCTGATCCTGTGATCATTCCAGAAATCAGATTCTCCCCCTTTTCCAGGATTTGCTGGGTTTTGTTTTAATTGCCGTAGGCTGTCTCTGTATCACGGATCTGCCTAAATTCAGGGTCTTCTCGGGTCTTTTCTGAACCTGCACCTTCCCCTGGCCATGTGTAGTGAGTTTCTCACTTCCCTCCTCTATGCAGTTCATTTTGAGTGCCCTAGTCTTCAATGTCTGGCTCCCAAGAGGGAAAAAGAAAAATAAAGGGGAGAGATCTTTTAAATCCCCTGGAAGTCAGGGGTACTTGGGTAGCTCAGTTGGTTAAGCCTCCAACTGTTGATCTCAGCTCAGGTCATAATCTCATGGTTTGTGAGTTCAGGCCCTGTGTCGGGCTCTGTGCTGACAGCTCAGAGCCTGGAGCCTGCTTAGGATTCTGTCTCTCCCTCTCTCTCTCTGCCCCTCCCCTACTTGCACACATGTGTGTGCTCTCTCTCTCTCTCTCTCTCTCTCTCTCTCTCTCTCTCTCAAAATAAACAAACAAACTTAAAAAAAAAATCCTCTGGAAGTCAGTTCAGCCAGGGGTGGGGGATTATAACGAAAATGGCTGTATCCTCTTTGTACCTCTATAATCAGAAGCAGCAGTCAGAGCACAGGTCCCCAATATTTGGAAGACAGGGTCCTTCTTGCCCACCCTGGCTCCTGCAAGCTGTTTCGGGAACATGCGCACAGCTGCCTGCCATGGGGCCGAGGGGTAGGATACGGGTAGCTACCGTCGTGCCAAGAGCTGAAATTGACAAAAATCAAGCCTAACTGCGATTTTGCGATTTTCCGATTTTCCATCCAGGCCTTCCCCTACAAGTTACAAGCTTTCAGTGGACTCCAGAGTTCCAAAATAGTTAGAGCAGACAGATTCTGCCCGTGTAAATGTTGCCTAAGTAGGAAGATAGATTTCTGGTGCTCTCCTGCCTTCTCAGAATCCTCTCCAGATTCTTATTTTTATGGAGGTAGAATTCAAATGTACAGTTAACCATTGTAATGTATTTTTAAAGAATCAGAGTATGAAACAGCATCTAGCGTGACCTCAGCTTTGTAAATGTGTGTGCACAGAGTACAGATTGAAAGGAAATCCGTGAAAATGTGAATGACGGTCCTTGCTGAGTGGTAGGATTACAATTTATATTATCTTCCTACATTTCTGTAATTTCCATGTAAGTTTCTGTAACTTCTTTACAATCAGGAGGAAATGATCCTTAGGAAAAGAATAAAGCTCTCCTCCAGGTGTGTATTCAGTTGGGAGCACAATCCTAATGACAGTGTTCCTCAAGTAATCTCCAAGGAGTTTATTATCTTACCTGTACCTGCTCTTCCCTTCCGTTGAATAAAAAAAAGCCAAACTTTCTTACTTGATAGGTGAACGCTAAAGATCTCGATCCAAAATATGCTCATATCCAAGTCACTTATGTGAAGCCCTACTTTGATGACAAAGAACTCACGGAAAGAAAGACCGAGTTTGAAAGAAACCATAATATCAACAGATTTGTTTTTGAAGCTCCTTATACATTATCAGGCAAAAAGCAAGGCTGCATAGAAGAACAGTGTAAACGCCGCACCATCTTGACCAGTAAGTAGGACCTCGCGAGATAACATTTGTTTGACTTGCTTCTTTTTGATACACACAGGTAGCAGGTGGCCAGCAGGGAAGTGTGAACTGAAATTTTAATCCTTCATTTTTCTGCTGTTCTGTCACTAGCTTGCACAGACATGGCAATGTTATATACCAGAGTTTCCCCATATGTAATTCACGATTGCTCTAGGGTATCTGATAAAAAGAATTTCCCCCTCAATCCTGAAGTACTGCGGTGCTTTCTGATACCCTACGGTACTTTCTAGAGAAAGCATGGTGGGGGCAATTAAGCATCATGGATTTTTTTTTTTTTCCTTTGACTTGGCCGTTTGAACGGATCATTTTTTAAAGATAACCACAACCAATCTGAACATTTTAACAGCTTCAAACTCCTTTCCGTACGTGAAGAAGAGGATCCCTATAAACTACGAGCAGCAGATTCATTTAAAGCCCATTGATGTCGCGACTGATGAGATCAAAGATAAGACGGCAGAGCTGAAAAAACTTTGCTCCTCTGCCGACGTGGACATGATTCAGCTGCAGCTGAAATTGCAGGGTTGTGTCTCAGTGCAGGTATGTCGGTGGCTGAATACGTCTTAAACGTTTCTCGATAGGCTTGCTTTCCTGAGGGCACAGAGCAAGCATGAACCGCAGTGTGTATTCTGCGCTTACTGAGTGCAAACACCTGTGCAGTTTTCGATTAACCGAAAAAAATGTTCAGCGGCCATAAAATTTGCGTTATGGTAGAAGACTTTAACATAAACTCCTCTGACTGCAGCCAAGCTCTGTATTTACAGAGCAGAAGTCATTAAGTATCTTACTGGAATATGATCTTTGCAGATTATTGGCTTTAGTCAGTTTTTTTTTAATAAGCTTATAGTAAGAATAGTAAATATGGTTCTCAGGTACAGATTTTTAATGCATCGAGGGGGCTTTTTAATTTTTATTTCTTTTAAGAGAGAGAGAGAGAGAGAGAGCACGAGCATGAGTTGGGGAGGGACAGAGAGAGATAGAGACAACAGAATCCAAAGCAGGCTTCAGGCTCCCAGCTGTCAGCACAGAACCCGACACGGGGCTCGAACTGACAGAGTGCAAGATCATGACCTGAGCCGAAGTCAGAGGCTCAACCGACTGAGCTACCCAGGCGCCCCAGGGATTTTTTTTCTTTTTTTTTAAGGAGAAGTGCAGAGGCACCTGGCTGGCTCAGTCAGTGGAGTGTGTGACTCTTGATCTCGACTGTTGATCTTGGAGTTGTGAGTTCAAGCCCCATGTCGGGTGTAGAGATTCCTTAAAAAGAAAAAATAAAATCTTAAAAAAATAATAGAGAAATGTAGACATTTCTTTTTGATTACATTCTAACAGCTCTCTTATTTTTCTCCCTTTGTAATTTAGGTAAATGCTGGTCCATTAGCATATGCAAGAGCTTTCTTAAATGATAGTCAAGCTAGCAAGTATCCACCAAAGAAAGTAAATGAGTTGAAAGACATGTTTAGGTAAGTGCTTTGTCATTTTCCCTTTAGACCTCTATCTTTTACTCCATTTTCTTCTTCATAGAAACCAAAATATTCACCAAATGGTATCCTTCCAAAAAAAGACATTCTGTTCTTTTTTACAATAGCTAAGTGACCCTCTAATGGTACTTTATTTTTTTTTAATTTCTTTTTAATGTTTACTTTTTGAGAGAGAGAGAGAGAGAGAGAGAGAGAGAGAGAGAGAGAGACAGAGCACGAGCAGGGGAGGGGCAGAGACAGAGAGGGAGACACAGAATCTGAAACAGGCTCCAGACTCTGAGCTGTCAGCACAGAGCCCAACATGGGGCTCGAACTCAGGAACCGCGAGATCATGACCTGAGCCCAAGTCGGACGCTCAACTGACTGAGCCACCCAGGCGCCCCTCCTATCTTGTGTTCTTAGTTCCAATTGGGATTCTGCTGGTCCAGGGCTTGAGTTGAGCATCCCCAGGCATGTCTGAATGGTCTTGCATTACAAATCTGTTTAATATGTAGAGTTTATATTCAGAATAAGAGAGACGGGTTGAGTAAAACACACCAAGGAGAAAGAGAACTTATCCACTCGTTTGCTGCTGGTTTATTTCATTTACTTTTCCTGTCTGTGTGTTCTCAGCCCTTCCAGGTTGCAGAGTAACCAGTAATCACTCATTCACCAGTATTTATTAATGCCTGGCATGTGCAGAAAGATTCTACTAGTTGCTATGATAGGGATACAAAGCAAATGGGCAGTGAGGTACTTTGCCCCCTAAGACCTGCACCCCGATTGTGGACATTTAAATATATAAACACCTGAAATGATGGAGAAAGGCTTTTACAATGAGTCATCAACTGTCCCCACTTTTTTTAACATTATTGAAGTGTAGCTGACATGCAGTGTTATTAGTTTCAGGCCTATGACGCACTGATTTGACAATTCTATATATTACTCAGTGCTCCCCGCGGGAAGTACGGTCACACCATCTGTCAGCATACAACGTTATTACAACATTATTGACTACATTGCCTATGCTGTACTTTTCATCTCTGTGACTTATTCATTTTATAACAAGTGTTTGTACCTCTCAATCTCCTTCACCGATTTCACTCCTCCCCGCCCCCGCAATCTTTGTCCCCGCTCCCAGCACAGGGCAGATAACTCTTACCTGTGGCACCCAGTACTGTACTGGGTACATACTAACCCCAAATAAATTACTTTTGAATTGAATGCACGACTCATTGTCTACACATGCAAATTAACGTGAGCACAATAAACGTTAGCTGATACAAGATCAAGTGACGGAGCAAATAGGCTTTCTAGAAGGCCTGCGTTTTGAGCCAGGTTTTAAAGAAAGTAAGAAACCAGAAGGGAAAGGTGGGAAAGAAAGGAAAAGGTATTTCAGGCTTAAGAAGTAGCATCAGCAAAGAGTAGCAGTGAGCAAATACAGGATTCTAATTTTCCTTCTAGGCAAGCCATGGTTAAAGTGAATATCAAATTGACGGTCCGTGAGACTTTGTAGGAATAAATGACGAAACCCTTACTGTCTTTGCTTTTTGTCTGCAGGAAATTCATACAGGCATGCAGCATTGCACTTGAGCTAAATGAGCGGCTAATTAAAGAGGATCAAATTGAATACCATGAAGGGCTAAAGTCAAATTTCAGAGACATGGTAAAAGAATTGTCTGACATTATCCACGAGCAGGCAAGTCTTAGGGTGGTTGAACATGAAAACATGATCTGGGGCCCCTGAAGTGTTACTCAGCCGAATCTGTTAGTTCGAAATGTATTCCCTTGAAATGATCCCGTCGGTATTCTCACATTTGCTCCTACTGTCTTTAATCGTTTCAATGATATAATGCAAATGGCCTTGGAAGTCATTATCTGAAGCAGTTGCTAAAGCAATTATCGGTCATTAGCCATTTTGTTCTTTGGGCCACAGTGCTACTGAAAGTAATGAGCTGAGCAAATCTGACCTGCTCTACTGTAAACATGGGTAAGAGTCTCTCAAGAAGTGAAATGATGAGCACGGGAGGCAAATCCCTAAAAGAATATCCCTGTCTTTAAAAAAACAAAAACAAAAACAAAAAAACAAAAAACACCTGGGTGGCTCAGTCGGTTGAGCGTCCGACTTGGGCTCAGGTCATGATCTCGTGGTTCCTGAGTTCGAGCCCCGCATCGGGCTCTGTGCTGACAGCTCAGAGCCTGGAGCCTGCTTTGGATTCTGTGTCTCCCCCTCTCTCTCTGCCCCTCCCCCACTCATGCTCTGTCTCTCTCTCTCTCTCTCTCTCTCTGTCAAAAATAAAATAAAAAAACACTTAAAAAAAAAAAATATCCCTGTCTCAGCCATAAGAAACTATAGTTTAGGTGACGTTCTGAGAGGCTTCCAAAACCTGAGAATTGTCTTAATGCCTGAACAGCCTACCCAAAACTCTGTTTTCATAAAACTTCTTAGCATTTTCATCTATGACTAAGTGTTCCTGACAATTGCAGCTGCTTTATTAAAACCACAACCTAAAAAATAGGGAAGTCGAGACCTGTTCGCCACTTCCAGCCACATTACATCACAATTAAGTTGTTAGGACTTTTATACACCTATTTATCCTAAAGCCAGCGTATTCCTAGGTTATTTTTTGTTTTTGAGTTTATGTGTTTCTGAGAAAGCGCAAGCAGGGGAGGAGCAGAGAGAGGGAGACAGAGGATCCAAAGCGGGCTCCGCACTGACAGCACAGAGCCCGATGTGGGGCTCGAACTCGAGAACCTTGAGATCGTGACCTGAGCTGAAGCCGGACGCTCAACCGACTGAGCCCCCCAGGGGCCCCTAAACGTCAGAATTTTTATGCTAGAACCCTGACCACTTACTTTAAGTATTTTAACATCTTCAACATGTTTGTAAAAGTCTTAGCCTTATGGTCTCGTCCCTCAGTGACCGAGCCTAGTAAGCTTATTATTAAAGTCACCTTCATATCCTCACTAATGAAAACACCCAATAAGATAAATACTTGCTTCAGAAATTCTTCAGACTCTGAATTTTTAAGGAATTAAGACTTCTTAAAAGAAACAAGGGAAACTACAACCCTTCTTTAGAGAACACATTCTTTTTTTTTTCTTCTTTAATTTTTTTCTGTTTGTTTATTTTTGAGAGAGAGAGAGACAGACTGTGACTGGGGGAGGGGTGGGGGGGGTGGGGGGGTGCGGCACAGAATCCAAAGCAGGCTCTGGGCTGGACACAGAACTTGAACCCACGAACCGTGAGATCATGACCAGAGCCAATCAGACGCTTAACTGACTGCACCACCCAGGCACCCTGAGAACACATTCTTAAAGCTGGTTCCAGAACCTTCTCTGTCCTGGTAGCTGCATTTCAGTGATTGCTTGATGAAGGCATTCCCCCAGATGAGATTGTCACACCAAGGGTGTACTTACGAATAAGCCAGCAGTGGCTAGTGTCCAAAGAACTGCATGGAAATGATGAGGAAAAGAAGAGATATTTCTAGGAAAACAGGCTAGTTGACTTTGAATCAAGCTCTCCCTCTCCAAATTTATTTTGTATGCTTCCCTTTAGGGAAGGCTGTGGGAAATTTAGTTAGCACAAGGTTGCATTGAATGACCAGGAGTCTCATTTTCTTTCTTCTTCTTCCTTTTTTTTTTTTTTTTTTTTTTGTTTGTTTTGTTTTTTGAGAGAGAGCTGGGAAGGGGAAGAGGGAGAGAGAATCACAAGCAGGCTCAATCGTGGGGCTCGAACCCACAAACCATGAGATCATGACCTGAGCCTAAAGTAAGAGACGCTTAACATACTGATATGCCACTCAGGGGCCCCTGTTGTCTGTATCTCAAGCTCAGAAGTGTAGGGATATACCTTTCTTTTTTTTTTTTTTTTTAATTTTTTTTTCAACGTTTTTATTTATTTATGGGACAGACAGAGACAGAGCATGAACGGGGGAGGGGCAGAGAGAGAGGGAGACACAGAATCGGAAACAGGCTCCAGGCTCCGAGCCATCAGCCCAGAGCCCGACGCGGGGCTCGAACTCACGGACCGTGAGATCGTGACCTGGCTGAAGTCGGACGCTTAACCGACTGCGCCACCCAGGCGCCCCTAGGGATATACCTTTCTTTACCATCACTGTTCAGAAGCGTATTTTTATCAAGTAACTACATGATCTGTTCCTAGGAGCTGTCCAGTGTATGGGTTTCTATTCTTCATAATCCATAGAAAATCAGCAGAAAGTTCTTCACAAAAGACACAACAATGACACACGTTGCTTTAAGCCAGTGTATAGTCTATTGCGGTTACTTGATTTGCATGCAACTGCATGACTTAGCCTTGAACTCTAAATCACTCAAACTGAGAACAAATTATTCAATTTACTGCTATTACGGTGATCAAGAGATTTAGAGCAGTCACTGTAATAAAGTTCTTTTCCCCCTGAAGTATGGATCTTACAAATCTACTGTCCTGTTTCCCATCTCTCATTTAATTCCCATAAGCCGTGGTTATTTTATTTAGTTGTAGAGACCTGTATTTTAGATCCTTGACATTATACATTGATAGATAACCAAGAAAAATCTTAGTTTCTATTGGTGTATATTTACGTGAGCTGTCCTGTCCTAATGCATCATATTTAGGTGTGCCTCGTTTTGAGTAAATGTTGACTTTATAGTGAGTTTTTATAATTCAGGCTTTCCTATTAGAAGGAAAGAGAGCCTTTTTTTTCTCCATAAAAGAGAGCCTTTTTTTTAGTCACACTTTGGCATACGTTATTTCCCAAAGGAAAATAAAATAATACAAAATAAAATAAAGTGTAGCTGTGTTGTGACATATAAATTATTCTGTTGTGCTCCATAAATGATGACTTGACAAAAGATATATGGCCTGGAGATTCCTTGGCCCTTTTCGGTATAATCTGTTACAGTATACCACAATATACAGTTATTTTTAGAACTTCTTCAAGCTTTTGACTCTGAAAAGGGGGTTTATATTATCTTAAAACTATTAATTGCAGGGGCACCTGGGTGACTCAGTCGGTTAAGCCTCCAACTCATTTATTTACTTATTTATATTTACATCCAAGCTAGCATATAGTGCAATAATGATTTCAGGAGTCGAATCCAGTATAAGCCTCCAGCCCTTGATTTCGGCTCAGGTCATGATCTCACGGTTCGTGAGATCGAGTCCCCTGTCAGGCTCTACGCTGACAGCATGGATCCTGCTTGGGATTCTCTCTCTCTCTCTCTCTCTCTCTCTCTCTCTCTCTCTGCCCCTTCTCTGTCCACACTTGCGCTCCCTCTCTCTCTCTCAAAGTAAATAAACATTTTTTAAAAAACTAAAGTTAAAAAACTATTAATTGCAAATCCATTTTTAAGTTTATTTTTGAGAGAGAGAGGGAAAGAGAGAGAACAAAATGGGGAGGGACAGAGAGAGGGAGAGAGTGAATCCCAAGCAGCCTCTGAGCCGTCAACACAGAGCCTGACATGGGGCTCGATCTCACAAATCATGAGATCGTGACCTGAGCCGAAATCAAGAGTCGGACGCTTAACCGGCTGAGCCACCCCGGTGCCCCATAATTGCAGATTTCTTAATGAGTTAGAGTGCTACCAACTCTATGTTTTGTTTTCTATGCAATGAGTCCCATATTGGCTTATCACATCTGACAGGTGTGGATAAATAATTAGTCATCCCTCCAACCTCTGCTTGGCTCTCAGATTAGTGTCATGAGTTACAAATTTTGTAAGAGGAAATTATTATGGAGTTTCTACAAGACGTGATTTGTAGCAACACAAACGATGTGACTCATTGCTGTCACCAGAGACCAGTTTGTGGGCTTAATACTGAATTTTCAAAAGCTGACTTGAGAACCAAGTATCGAAAGCTTGAGATCTAAGTGGGGATCGCATAGTAAGGAGGTCAGATGTGATGTGTATGGTATTCTTTTCTTCCATCTAATCCAGGCAGGAGCTTTCTGTTGCTTTTGGTCACACAAAATGGAAAAATTTTTTAAATATCTGTATCAATATGAATATATATGTTTATATACTCATGGGATATAAAGTTTATATTTTGTATGTATGGAGTTCTTCATTTCCATGAAAAATCCTCTGCATCGATCAGCTTATGTAATTGTAGTGTATCTTTCGAAAAAAAATACGCACTTGTGACTTTACTGGATATTATTTTCCAAGTCTCTCGGGAAGGAGCACAGGTATCTGTGTGTTTGAAACGCCCTACGGGTGATTCTGAGAGCCACTGTTTAGAGCTCTTGTTATGAGTATTCGTTAAAAAATATTTTCAAGATCGCATTACCTCTCACTTTTTCTTGAATTTTGCATTTCACAGTCTTTTGTTTTTCCAAATGAGTAACCAGATCTTTTCTGCTTTTTTAATATGCGGCCTTTGTAATACAGCTTTGAAGACTTAAGTCGGTAACGTTATCCTTTGCTCTTTCTGCTTTATGTCATTTTAAATAGCTAAGTGTCAGTGACAAATTGAAATATGCCTGTAATTTCATATACACATACTTTCTTGACAGCGGCCATTATGCCTCGTGATAAACACGTACGTTTCTTTTGTTTGTTTTAGATATTACAAGAAGACACAATACATTCCCCTTGGATGAGAAACACGTTACATGTATTTTGTGCCATTAGCGGTACGTCGAGTGACAGAGGTTATGGTTCCCCAAGATACACTGCTGAAATATGAGGACGTGCAACTGTAAAGTGAAAACGAGACTGACCTTTCTCAGGAATGAGTGGAGCTGTGCAAACGTTCCAATGTAAAGATGTGATACACATGGAGTGTTTCTTCCTGACACCAAAATTTTCATGCTTTCAAACAGGGTGCTTACATATTTGTAAATATCTAAGCAACTTGAAAGTGCCTGGTAAATTGCACCACTGTGCTCGGTTTGTACTTTTTTAGGTAAATCTATATACGGAGAAGCAGAGCTCAACAACGTGAATTCAGTTTGCTTAATTATCGCTTACAGTAACCATGGTACTATGTAAAATTGTATAATGGAACACAATAAAAGGTAAAACTTATTTGTAATTAGAAGTGAAGGAAGCAATACTTTGAACTTAGCATTTTTCTTGACGAGGAGCCCACGGCATGATCATGCTAGTCCTTGGAGAGCACAAAAGTGATCAGATTTCCAGAAAACATGGATATTTCAAAGTGGGGAGGGCACTTGAAATCTGCCTGCTGGCATTCAAGGCGAGGCTCCAGGAGACAAAATTGTTACTTAAAGCGGAGACTTCCACAAGGAAAGGCTGTACCTAGAAATACCAACACTTAACCGTTCCTTCAAGTTTTGATCCAGCGAAGCTGGGTAGGTAATCAAGGCGGGCTCTCTCCGACTTGCAGGACGAGGGTTCATATATGACATAGGTTTCCCTAGGAAGGCGGCATCTGTTGCCAGGGTTTCGTCATCAGGGGCCATCCACAAAGCTAGATAAAACATTCCTGCGAATTCACAGTGAGTGCACCCTTTGCAACTTCAGAGCTTTCAAAGCAGCAGAGGCAGGTAGGCATTTTGTAATGACTCTTTTTTTCCAGTTTGCAAGATTGGCACGTATTTTGATAGAACTTGATGGTTGCAGCATTTTGGCAGGTGGGGGTCAGGACACACACCCACCGCAGACTTAGCGACTGCTAGCTAGGGATTACATTTCTAACCACGAAGACCTCTCAGACTGCCTAAATCATTCAAGAGAAACCAAGATGTAATGAACTTCTTTTGCTGGAATTACCCACGTCATTTTGACCGGCTTTCATGTAAACTTCAGGTTCTAGACATATTTTCCTTATCTAGTTTAGCCTATTTTGCAGAGAAAAAAAAAAAAGACACTGAAATAGAAATGAATTGCATGGAGCCTTGGCTTTTTTAAATGCTTTGTGATCAAGTAAATCTTAGGGATTATGCTCCTGGCTGGCCATTTTTCTTTACATGTCCTTTTGAAGCTTTGAGGGGAGCATGACATTATTTATTGAAGGTTACCTTTGTACTTTCATAGGGGATTCAGAAGTGTTCCAGACGCAGTTTGTAATTCCTTCATATCTTGGAGTAACCCGTAGAGTTAGTTTCACGTTTAAAGTGATTAGATTTGGTATGTGTGTGTAAGGAGCCGTCACCTAGAATGAGGCTTCTTGGGGACATTTCAGTGGTCTTTAGTCGACAGCTGGCCCCATATCACGGCCCCCACCACAGTGTTCTGTACCATGGGTAATTTTTTAAAGTAACATAACTGGTCCGTGTGCTCAAGGAGCTTGCAGTGTAGTTGCGGAGGCAAGATACACACAAGATTACATAACACAAGAATTGACAACCTGAGACCAGAAAAGTCCTACCTGAGCATTTGCCAACAGAGCCACACTGTCCTTACCTTTCATCACATTCAAGGAATGAGAGATCGCTATGGATTATGGTGTTCAGGGATGGCTTTGTGGACAAAAGGAAGCCCTGGACAGGCTCTTAAGGATGAGAGGGCACTCCAGGCAGAAGGAACATCGTGCACAGAAGTGCAAAACGAAATAGCGGGAGTTCAGGGGGTGTCGAGGAGACGAGTTTTGTTCAAGGGAGTAGTAGAGGATATAAACCTAGAATGAAAACACGGACCTAGATGGTGGAAGGCCTTGAATGGCAGGCTGACGGTGTTTGGACTTTACTCAGGAAACATGGGGGAGCCAGTCAAAGGTTTTTAGACAGATCACTTGATTCACTCTTACGTTTAGATATTTAAAACTTTACATTGCTGTCAGATGTGTCTGAGGCAGAGGGAGATAGAAATGTGGAAACCAATTAGCTAGTGCAGCAATCTAATTATGAGGCCCTAACCCCCTAGATAAGACCAAGAATGGAGAAATACCAAGTATAAGAGACCTTATGTGGAAATACCGGCCCTGGGCTATTGATGGCTCAGGGGAAAAAAGGGAAACCTGAAGGATAATTTTGTGTCCTGTGGCCAATGAGTCCCCCCAGGTCGTGACACAGTGTCACGAGGGTTTATTTCTCCCAGCTTTCGGACAAAGGGCAGCAAGCTGTAGAGAACCAGGTGGGCTGGGCTAGAGGAAGCCAGGAAAGTGTGTTTGGAATCACGATCTGTGTTAGGTATTACTGTTTATATAGTTGAATGATTTCATGAAGTGACCCGGCCTCTACAAAGTAACTCACGTCAAAAGAATACATTTCTGCTATACTGGTTGTTTTCCAGTCAAGCTTGAATCCAGTTCCCCCTGGAAGCAACTGTTTTGGTAGGTCTTTGAAAGCATTGTAAAACCGGAATAAGTCATCCCTGATAGTGTTTGTTTATCGCTGCGGTGACAACCCGGAGAGAACCTAAGTCCACGCAAACTCTCCTGGTAACCAGCTGTCGCCAGTGGCATCGTCTCTGTGGACGGGATTGTTATTGTGACCATGTTTATGTGATTTGCCTGCCTATATACATCGTGTAAACATCTTCTTAAAACTGAAATAGAAAGCAGCTGCGGTCGCAATAGCCTTGGAACCTTGACCTCCGTATCGTGGGACTAGAGATGAGTCACTGGTTAATCAACAAACTAAATAGGTCAGTGTAACAACCCAGGCTTCTCATGTCTAAATACTAGTTTTATCGGAGGTGAAGAATCTGAGCGGCATATTGGAGTAATAGGCATTTCCAAGCTCTTCAAAATATTAATAATCCGCTACGTCTTTTGGGGTTCTGATCCACAAAATGGTGGGCTGCCTTCAGTCTCGGTCTTGTGCCGAAAATACACCACTTGAGCCATCAAAACAGCAAGGGCCAGGAATAGAATAAAAGTTGGTTGGGGATGGGGAGTGGGTTTGTGTCAAAGGCTCTTCCCCTCTCCTGAGAGTTGGCCAGCAAGAGTGCTTTGTTCATCTGGTTCCAGTTACAATAAAGGCTTTTTTTCTAGCCCTCAACCACGTAATGGTCGCTCTCTAAGTGCATGTGTGTTTATCTAGCTCCTGGTTGAAGTGGTGACTGAGTCCCACAGAGAGATCTGCCTCCATGTGTGGCATTGGAAAACTTAACTCCAGTGTGCTTTTTTTTTTTTTATGTGTTTCCTCTTTGTCGAGCTATAATTCACATGCCTCACAACCCACTCCCTTAAAATGCACAATCCAATGGTTTTTAGCATATCCAGAGCTGTGCAACCATCAATCACAATTAATTTTGGACCATTTTATCCGCCCCCCCCCCAAAGAAGACACCCCATGTATACCAGCAGCCTCTCCCCGATGCCGATCAGTCAGCCCTCAGCCCCTGACCACCACCAATCTACGTTCCGTATCTCTGGGTTTGCCTGCTCTGGACACTTCATATAAGTGGAATCATACAATACATGGCCTTTCGTGACTGGCTTCTTTCGTTCAATGTGTTTTCAAGGTTCCTTCATGCTGTAGCATGGATCGGCACTCCATTCCTTTTTAAGGCTGGACGACATTCCTTTGTATGGATACACCGCATCTTATCTACTCCTCACTTGATGGACATTGGAGCTATTTCCATTTTCTGGCTATTATCAATGTCGTAAACACTCGCGTACAAGTTTTCGGGTAGGCAGGTTTTCAGTTTGCTGGGACGTATACCTAGGACTAGAATTACTGGGTCATATTGTAACTCTACAACTAACCTTTCCAAGAACTGCCCAGCTTTTCTCTTTTGTTGTTGTTGTTGTTGTTGTTGTTTTAATTTTTTTTTTTATTTTTTTATTTCAGAGAGAGAGAAAAAGAATCGTAAGCAGGCTCCATGCGCAGCACTGAGCCCAATGCGGGGCTCGATCCCACAACCCTGGGATCATGACCTGAGCCCACATCAAGAGTCAGATGCTCAACTGACTGAGCCGCCAGGCGCCCGTACCTATTTTCTCTAGTAGCTGCGGTCCTTACATCCCCAGCAGCAGCGTATAAGGATTCCCGTTTCTCTGTATTCTCTACAACACTCTTCCTTCTCTGCTTCTTTGATTATCACCTTCCCAGTGGGTGTGAAGTCGTCTCTCCTCGTGGTTTTCATTTGCATTTCCCTGATGGCTGACAACGTTGAGCATCTTTCATGTGGCGATTGGCCATTTTTATGTCTTCTTTGGAGATGTGTCTGTTCAGATCATCACCGATTTTTCAAAAATTGGTTGTCTTTTTATTATTGAGTTGTAAGGGTTCTTTATACGTGCTAGATGCAGGTCCCTTATCAGATCTATGATTTCCATATATCTCCTATCCTTTGGGTCACCTTCTCACTTTCATGATGGCATCCTTTGAAGCACAAGTTTTTTTTAATTTCGATGAAGTCCAATTTACCTGTGTTCTTTTTTGTGGCTTGTGCTGTGATGTCGTATCTAAGAAGACTTTGCCTAATCCAGGGTCATAGAGATAGATATACACCTGTGTTTTCTTTGAGTTCTACGGTTTTAACTTTCACTTTTAGGTCTGATCCATTTCCATTTTTGTATATAGTAAGAGGTTGGGGTCCAAATTCAGTCTTCTGCTTGTGGATATCTGGTTGTCCTTGCACCCATTTGTTGAAAAGACGATTCTTTTCCCCCTTGTACTGTCTTGGCACCCTTATCGAAAATCAGTTGGCTATAAAAGCATGGGTTTTCCCTGGGGTCTCAGCTCAGTTCCGTTGGTCTATACGTCTATCCTTATTCCCGTACCACATAGTCTGGATTACTATAGCTTTGTAGGAAGGTTTTAAATTGGCAAGCGTGAGTCTCCCAGTTTTGTTCTTTTTCAAGATTTTTTGGATATCCTGGGGCCCTTGAATCTCCATGTGAATTTTAGGATCAGAGTAGCTTGTCAATTTCTGCAAGAAAAAGTGGGTGGGGGGACCTGGGATTTTAGTAGGATCTGCTGTGAATCTATAAAACAATTTGGGGATTATTGCCATTTAACAATAATAAGCCTTCCCAGCCCTGAACACGGGATGTTTTACCATTTGGTTAGGTCTTCTTTAATTTCTTCCAATAATGTTTTGGAGTTTTCAGTATACAAGTTTTATATTTTGTTGATTTTATTCCTTAGTATTTTATTCTTTTAAATGCTGTTGTAAGTGAAGCTTTTATTTCATTTTCATATTGTTTATTGCTAGCTTACAGAAATACAACTGATTCATTATATTGACCTTGTATTCTGAAACCTTGCTGAATTCACTAGCTTCAATACAGGGTTTTTTGGGGTGGATTCTTTAGTGCTTTCTATATAAGATCATGTCATCTGAAAATAGAGATAGTTTGGGGCGCCTGGGTGACTCAGTCGGTTAAGCATCCAACTTTGGCTCAGGTCATGATCTTGTGGTTCGTGAGTTCAAGCCCTGCGTTGGCCTCTGTGTTGACAGCTCAGAGCCTGGAGCCTGCTTCAGATTCTGTCTCTGTCTCTCTCTCTCTCTCGCTCTGTCCCTCCCCTGCTCACGCTCTTTCTTTTCGCCCTCTCAAGAATAAATATTAAAAAAAAAAAAAGAAAATAGAGATAGTTTTACTTCTTTCTTTTCAATCTTCATTATTTTTATTTCACTTTCTTACTTAGAACCTGGCTAGAACTTCCAGTAGAATATTAAATAGCATCAGGGAGAACAGACATCCTGGTCTTATTACTGATTGTTCCATGAAAGAGGGGGAAAGAGAGGAGGGGGGGTAGTATATGCAAAACAACCTCCAAAGGCTGTAGGAGCCATTAAGACTGAAGAAAAAGGCTGACAAATCCAGCCTGACAGGAAATGGTTTATTAAGAGGACTTATGGTGAGATCTTAGGGCGATCCCACCTTCCCATGAGACCTGCTTTTATAGCCCTAGAGGCTAGGGACTACATGTTTGCGGAATACCATCCAGGAGGACCCCTATCAAGGACGTTATGCCCCAAGGGTGTACTTAAGGGTATGGTTAAATAAAGAATGTGGGGGAAGGGACTGCTCAAGAAGGCTTCATTCATGTCACAGGTCATCGGGGCAGATTTGTCCAAGATGGCGTTAGTCTGGGTCACACAGTAACTATAGGAGAAAGCTTTCAGTCTTTAACTTTTATTTTTTTAAGTTTACTTATTTATTTCCAGAGAGGGGGAGAGAGAGACTCCCAAGCAGACTCCATGCTGCCAGTGTGAAGCCCAACAAGGGGCTCCATCCCACAAACTGTGAGATCATGACCCGAGCTGAAATTAAGAGTTGGACCCTTAACCGACGGAGCCCTAACTTTTCTTTTTAAGTTTCTGGGTTTTTTAGTCCCCTCTACCCCGAATGTGGGGCTCGAATTCACGACCCTTAGATCAAGAAAGAGTTCCATGCTCTTCTGACTAAGCCAGCCAGTCTCACTTTTAAGTGTGGTATTAGCTGTGGGTTTTTCATAGATGCTTTTTGTCCGATGGAGGAAGTTCCCTCCGGCAGGTATTTGCATCTTTTTTGATCCAATTCTCCCAGTAACTATGTGATCCGTATATGACATACAGGGAAATAGATGACAAATGGTTAAGAAATGTACTCGGGGTGCCTGGGTGGCTCGGTTGAGCCTCCGATTTCGGTGCAGGTCGTGATCTCACAGTCCGTGAGTTCGAGCCCCGCGTCGGGCTCTGTGCTGACAGCTCAGAGCCTGGAGCCTGCTTCCGATTCTGTGGCTCCGTCTATCTTACCCCACCACCCACCCCCACCGCCCGCCCGTGCTCTCTGTCTCTCAAAAATGAATAAACATTAAAACAAATTTTTTTAAAGAAATGTACTCAAGATATATATCAAATTAGGGATGAGGCCAACGTAGGTCACGACTCACAATCCACGGTATTTTCAACTGCTCTGTACTATTTCTTATGGTCTCCAGCTACAACTTCCTGCAACTTTCTAGAGAGACAAGAAGGTTTAGATCTTCCACTTTTTTACTGAAAAGGTAAACTCCGTAGAGGTGAAGTCTTTGTCTGATTTTTCACCTCTGTTTCCCTGGAACCAAAAAAGTTCCTGGCACGGAATAAGTGCGTGAACAGTCTCCAGAAAATGAAGCCAGTTTAGACAAGCAGACACTTCTGGAGCCTTCGTTATATGCAAGGCAATGTGGACAGATATCTCAGCCCTCAGAGAGATTGTGGTTGAGGGAGATAAGACTTAGTCGCATAAAAAGATGATATGAAGAAGTCTGATAATAGCAAATCAGTGGTGATGATGACAAGTGCTTGAATAGGCAGAGATTTTCTATATGTAGAGCAAAAAAAGGCTTTGTGAGCGCCTGGCTGGCTCATGATCACGACTCTCATGATCTTGGGGGCATGAGTTCGAGCCCCGGGTTGAATGTAGCGTTCTTAAAGTTTTTGTTTTTGTTTTTGTTTTTGTTCTTTTAAAGGCTTTGCAGAGAAGACAGGGCATGAACACGGCACTGAAGGATGAATAGGAAGTATTATGTGTGTGTGTGTTGAGAAAGAGTTTGACAGGAAGCTGAAAAACTAACTTCTTCATTCTAATTGTCATATGAACTCTGACCCTTAAAACCGATCACTGCTGCGAGGAATGTGCAAAGAGCGCACATAAAATCAGCAACGTTTTTCATCTTGTTTTTCCCAGGTTCTTTTGTCCTCTGGCCTGAGACTCCAACTGAATGGATCAGCCTTTTGGTTGTTGTTGTTGTTCAGAAAACTCATGCTCAATTCGCTTCATCCCCCTGAGAGATCTTTTTTCAACCAACCTCGGTTGAAATCTGATCTACGAGTCTCATTCTTTATGTACTGTAGGAATTTATGATCATCACTGCTTCAGGATATCTCTTAGGGTTGAGTCTTAAAGGCCCTGGACGCATCCTGCACGCTGACTGCATGTGCCTTTGATAGAAAACCAACAGAAGTGATCATACGAACAGGGCTGCAGTCTGGGAATCGTAGGTCATTCATTCATTACGTATGTGTTTGGTAACCCGTTGTGAGCCGGGGTGTGAGGGATCCAGGCAGTAATCTGCCG